GAAGGCCATAACTTGAGTACAAATTAAGATATCTTGTTGAAACTTGGTACACATGTTTCCTGGCAAAAACGTAAGAATGAGTTCGTAGATGGAAAACGTATAAAGTGCAGTAAGTAAGCCGTAAATTAAGATACAGAACTCAAATGTGGCACAGCGAATTTAATTAAGGAGTGACACTTGTGGTTTGAAAACCATGAAAAAGTGTTCGTGACCACGGCCTTAATTAGTTTAATGTATATGTATATCTCCGAAACCAATAAATATATCATTTAAATTTCCACACAGGAAATATTTTCAACCTTTCTTACGATAGTGTGAAAATAGGTGAAATCGGATGATAATAATATACATTTATAAAATTTGTTGAAAATATGATCTCAAGTATACCTCTGCAACGTCAAAATTAACTTAATTAGCCCATCCCTTTCTCTGTCCCCAATATAGCCTGTATAATAATCTCCGACTTTCCATCTGACAAAATGTGTGATATTTTAATAAAATTAAATGAACAAGTTTTCCCAAAAATTGTGTGGGAATATGAATGAAATTGGTCTAGACATTGGTCCAAACCTTATATCCCTAAAGTAATGAACTGCGATCCTATGGTTACCGTTTTTACATCAACTCATTATATTATATTAAATTTAGCTTCTTCAGTAAAGTTAATATCCCATAGATCTCATTTAAAGATGATTTCAATACAATTTTAGCTGTCGGAAAGTAAAATATATTAGTAATAAAACTAAGTGAGTCTATGACTATAATAACTATAACTTAATAAAATGAGTAATTTGATTGTAATCCATTTACAATTTTATCGAATAATGAATGTAAAATTGTTTCGCAACATTTTTTAATATAAAGTTTTCCTAACACCAAACGGTTTTTTCCCTACTTGCATCCTTGCAAGTTTCAAGTGTATAAATGTTACATCCGAACTTAGCTCTTGCTTACTGGTTTCTTGTTGTATTCTTGATTGCTCTGCTGTACTCATGGTGATTGAATAGCGGCGACTTGGTGACACATTAGTGCGTAAAATATTAGCAGCTTCGTGGTATTATAAGGCATAAATAAGTAAAACATTTGTCTTCAAATTTTATTTTAAACCAGGCAGTTAAAATAGACGCGCCAAAGAACGCTAAACGTGCATGTCCATACTTGTTTAGATTAAGGTATAAACAAAAAGTTTAATCTTTATAAGCAAATGCTTTTGCAATTATCGCCGAATCATAACATACCTAATCAGGCAATCTGCCAGCATATCAAGCGTCACGAGCTCGGAATACTGTTAAAAAGCATGTGCTAAGCGATAACAGTTCTACTTGTATGTGGGGATTGTTGTCTGTTGTAGTGAAATTTCATAACTGCATTGTTTTTCTTTTGACTGTAACCGGTGGTACATATGTAAACACATCTATACATATGTATATCACTCAAATCTGCAAACTCGAATACGAAAAACCGGTAAAAAGTCTTGCAAGAATTAAAAAATATATAATGTCTAATTTACATAATATTGTATTTACATACAGACATACAAATATGGTACAATACATTTATACTGTTACTTAATTTCATACACATCTATTTCAAATATTCAAGGGCGTCCACAATGATATTTATTTTTTTTATATGTACATATATACTTAAAAATATAACACAGTGAGAGTTTTAACATTCTGTGTTATATTTATAGCTCTGAACGGTTCCGATGTAACACATTTTTTATAAGATTATAAAAAAAAACAGCAAAACCATTCAAATACATTCATACGTATGTATGTAAATAATTTTCGAATGCAATCACGTTATTTTTAACTGTTCAATCCAAACAAATCAATTTTTTTTAATTGCTATGCTATTTACGATGAACGTAGCCAATATTTTTCACAGTACTGTATGCACACGTTAGATTTTTATTATGGTAATGAATGTCGACTGAAGTTGAAAATCAATTGATTGGCATTAATTAATTTTTATTTTATGAAGCGGCGACGCAACATAAATTCGAAGCGCGAAAAACTGAACCCGAAATTTGAATAAAATGTGGGTAGCTCGTACAATTTATAAATATGTAAGTATTTGTTTGTGCAATTGTTTGCTCATTTGGGTTGCATTAATTCATTTACTACTGTTCGCAGATCGAGCTTCTTTCGAACGTCACGGCTTTGCTCTACAGCTTCATAAATATTTACCAAGTCAATGCGTTATTCATCGGAATCGAGTCGCAAAATGTTTCGCGTTTGCACGAGCCATTTGGGCATGTAATAAAGATTTTAAAACTATTTTCGAAACAGGTCTCCACCTTTCATGTCATGAAATGAAATAATAACAATTCAATCAAGATGAAATAATTATAGTCCAATGTGTGCTTTTTTTTGATTGTAGGAAAAGTCAAACAATTATTGGGCGAATAAATATTAAAATCTATGCAGAAATCTGTATATAAAAATTTCATATAGTAATTTTTAATTACCACTAACATATGATTATTTAGAATACCAATAATAGATGTTGGAAAGGATTATTCTACATAAAAAAAAGTTAAAGAGTTTAATATACGTACATATGTATGTTATCAAGGACCATAAATATACCTTCCAAGTAAAACTGAGGGTGTGGTATACGCGTAGAGATAGTGGAATTTAATAAATCTTCAGGTATATCGAGATCAATAAGATCACATAATATCCATTCATATTTAAATTGGAGACATAATACTATGAATGGTTAACGAGCTACAAAAAAATTGTATGAGCTAAAAAGTGGTATGTACTTATAGATTTAAAAGTTAAAAATCGCATTACGTGTAATATCTTTGTCATAATAAGAATAAAGAAGAGTGTTGAAAGTGTTGTTATATAGTATGTATGTATGTAAAGCACGCTCGTATTGTACCTTATATAGCTCTACAAGATTAGGTATTCCGATGATTTTGTTTTGAAGCTTTCGCATTGTATGTACATACATACATACATATGTACATATATTTAGGGTATTGAGCCCTTAGCCCATTAACTATAGAAATAATAAATCTTTACTAATAAATACTTATGTACATATGTACACATGTTTGTACTTAAAAAGAAATTTAAATGACTTAGACGCTTTAAGCACTTAAAAAATTTAAATACTTGTAATTAAGTGAAATTGTTATCAAAGTTAAAGCCAACGGATAGAAATGTTATTTGCATTTTCTTAAATGTTCACGTTTTGCAATTGAAGTGCAGCTAAGAGAGTATAAGCCCCACTCACATATATATGTAACTTTTATATAATATATTGTATAATTAGGTATTACAAAAATAATAAAAATTTAAATAAAAAGTTATTCAAATACTCCAAACGATTGTAAGAAACTCGATTTAACATTATCACTTCCCTTAGAGATGGTGTAATCATACTTGTACTGCAGCGACATCGGATAACTCGAATAGAAGTAGAAAAACTTCAAATTGTAGACTCGAGTAAAAGTACTCTCAACTTTGATTATCATTCAAATTTTTAAGAACTTTTCCAATTGACACTGATGATTTCGATAAAAGAGGTGATCAAGTGTCAAAATGCTTGATATTAGGCTTTTCTCACAAGCAGTGCTTATTACTACTTGGGACTTACGAGTGCATACATATGTATATGTATGAATAATATACAATGTATGATTCAGTTAAGAACTTCACACTTTGATATTCCCAATTTTCCAGCAATCATTCTGGCTATAAACAGTTGCTGCTAAGAAAGGGTGGGACAAAAAGGTAATATTTTTAAATTGACACTTTTTTACTGATTACTTTTATAAATACATGCGTACATACATAGGTATACATATGTATGTACAAATGTATTTCCATTCACGGAAACATTCGCTTTCGCAAAACTTGGCGTTATCATAAAACTGTATTAATCGGTGTAGATTTTTTCTGCGCTACATGCATATATTTCCGCATGAAAACATCTGTAGGTCGTTATATATGTACCTGTATATGTGCCTACAGGTACACTGGCGGTGATGGGTAAGGTAACACTACTGTTGAAATGGAAAAAGAACACTCATAACGTGTTACTTTTACAATTTTTTTTATCTGTCGTTTACTGATATTTCAACAGCACACAAAATGAATATCAAATAAGAAATCCTGGAATCGTAGGGATAGTAAAAAGTATGTGTCCTCATCCTGTGTAAGGATTTCAAAAATAAAACATTTTTAGTTTTTTTTTTCTAGACTAGAATACTCTTTAATTCCTGTACCATTTCAAAATCCTCAAAATTCCAACTAAAGCTTAAGGGTTAAGTATTTGGAGAGATTTACAAAAGTGAAAAATACGTTGAAGTTTTTTATGCAAGTGTTCTTGCTTATTTCTTAATTGTTTTTGCAAAACAATCGAATAAAATTATTCACAGTCACATGCGTGCCGCTTGGATAAAAATAAAAATTTTCTTCGAATGTGTGCACAGAAAGTTTCATTTCTACACTTTGTGAGTTTGTATGCGCATACATATGTATGTAAGGATGTACGTATGTAAAAAAAATGTGTTCTTTTGCATGACCATTATATGTATGTTATATATAGGTATTTTTCTAATTAATTTAAGCAATGCAACACCAACAAATAAAAAACCATGCCAATTAACATTAAACAACTTAACAAGTCGTCGGTGGGCCGGCTTCCCGAGTGTGTGTTTGCACGTCAACTTTTTTATACGAAAACAAAGGTTAAAGGGAGGAAATATATACGAGTACCATACACCATATGTAGGTCCCTTTGAACGCATTCAATATTATAATTTTATATTATATTTTATATAAGGAGTGGTTATATAATTCCTTGTAATAATTTTTTCTTCATGTCACGCAGTCCGTATTGCCTGCGCTATTTATGCTACAATCCCTCTTCCACTGTTAGAATTTAAATAGAGGAAGGATAAATCTTAGCTAGTCGCAAATATCCTATACATAATTATTGAAATGTATTCATTTAATGTAATTTTTTTTTTTTAGATTTCGCCGTCACAACGCAGTCGAAAATAGTTTTTTATGATGAACACTGGCAGGAGGTGACATCATCGGCTCATCAGTTCGAACATCTTGGTGCCATCACTTTTGATGAAGCTGAAGAAAAAGTATATTTCACCGATGAAGTGCAAAACAACGGCAGCATTTTCTCACTAATGATACCGAAAGACTACGAAGATCCGCATTTAATAGAGAAGATGGTACAGCGCACCAAAAACGAAGCAGTTCGTTCGCTTGCGTACGACCCATTCGATCGCAATCTCTACTGGAGTGATATGTTGAATAAGAAAATATTCATGGTATCTGTTGATGCTAACGCGTCTACCACACCAAAAGTGTTCATAGATTTCAGGAATGAAAACACCCAACCCGACGGTATTGCTATCGATTTTTGCCGTCGTACGCTCTTTTGGACTAATTCAAATTTTACCAATTCAAGCATTGAGCGTATTGGGTTGGATGGTAGCGAACGTAAGGTAATTGTGCGCGGGGAAATGTATGCGCCACATGGTATAGTCGTTGATCAGTTGACTGATCGTATATATTATGTGGTGGATCAGCAGGGTATACATTTTTCGGTGGAGAGTGCAAATTTGGATGGCAGTGATCGGCAAGTGATACTGAAGGGCCTTAATAATGAACCATTTAGTTTGGCTGTAACAAAAGATGCAATCTTCTGGACCGATCATACAAACCGCGCAATTTGGGGACATGCGAAATTCATTAACAACACCGAAACGAAGCATTTAGAGCCGGAAGATGAGACAGTGGAAACAGAAGGGGGCGCAAATATGATACTAAAGTACCAGGACAGGCCGCGTGGCATAGTCGCACGGATTCATTATCTTACCAATTCCCTAAATGATCAACACTGCCACGAAGTGGTTGCTAGTATTAAGAATCGTATTCTATCAATTGCCCAACCCACGAACAGTACGTTAGACTTAGGCGCGCATGTCTTGCGTAAAAATTACTGCTTGAATGGTGGCGAATTTGTAGCGCAAACAACCAGCTGTATCTGTAAGATCGGTTTCAAGGGTACACGTTGTGAGATCAATGAGTGCTTCAACTATTGTGTGCACGGCTCGTGTGTGATCTCCTCGCTGGGATTGCCGACGTGCGAATGTCCTCGCAGTCATTACGGCGCACGATGTCAGTGGTACAAGTGTGCCGGCCATTGTATGAATGATGGTCACTGTATAATTGAGGATCCAGGTGAACCGAGTTGTGAATGCAAGGAAAATTATAGTGGAGCGCGTTGTGAATATAACTCTACCGAGATTTGTGCGCTTTATTGCCAAATCTTGAAACTGGAGCCGGATACGAATGTGCCTTACGGTTGTCATGACATGTGAGTGCAACAAACCAAACACTAAAAGCATTTGGGTCAAGTTTTGCATAGTCATAGTAAAAATTATTGAAATATATTCCTGTATCTTTTCAATTCCAGATGTGAGGAGCTCGTTCAACATAGTGAAAATGGTGCAGAAACTTATGCAATTCCGAAGTTTGAACATTTGGAAATGTGCCAGCAAGTAGATCCTTGGACTAGTACCGTCATCGTTGTGTTCGTTTGCGGTGTAGTCGCTTCCCTAGGCTTAATGCTTTTAATCGTACATGGATTGCGCCGTTTCTACAAACCAGCGCGCCCACGCATAAAGAAAACTTTTGTGGTACGCAAACAAGCTTCTCCCTCCACGGACACACCGCTCACCAATCGGCCAATTGCGACCGAACAATGTGAAATTACAATAGAAAATTGTTGCAACATGAATATCTGCGACACAGTAAGTGTTCATTCCAAAAGATTGCATCTTAAATATAATTCTTACTTCTTGTCTATCTTGTGTTTTGTCAAAAATGATTATTTGATTTAATTATATTACTATATTATTTTTTAATAGCCTTGCTTCGATTCAAAGTTATTGGAACAAACACTCTCACGCAATGCCAAGGTCAAGGAAGACAAGAAAATGCTAATAAATAGCATGGATGATGAACTTTATTAGTACAGCAGTGAATAATGTGCCAACGCAGGATTTGCTTGCGCTGCGGATACGGTACGCGCAGTCAGGGACTGGCATACTTCTTCTGCGCGCAAAAAGCGGAGAACATCTACCAGAGGCCTTACAACGAAGTAACAAAAGAGTGCATGCAAATGTAGAACGAAACAAAAGAAGAAATTGCCAAGAGAGATTGATCGATTTGAAAATTGGGGATGTTGGTCTCACGTCATGGACATACATATGTAGATAGCACGAGTTCCTCGTCCGTGGCGAAAGATCCAAGAAGTGCAACAACGGATAAGCTTTAAATAGAGTAATATACTCTCAGAAGTCACAAATAGTAAAATTCATGTACTTATTTAATTTTTTTTTGACACTTAATTAATTCATTATTATTGCTTCAATACTGCATAGTACTTACTTTTTATTTTAGTTCAGACAATCTAACATTACTCCAACATGAACTGGTTTTAGTTGAATTTTTGAATTATTTATTTCTGGAGTCACATATAATTTATTTTATTTTGATTTTATTAGTTGATTATTTAAACAATCGAGACCAATTAAGGCTGTTAACACTTTTCAAAAGTGCTGTAAACATATATATATATATTATATGTACATCTTAAACTTTGTTACTTAAAATAAAAATTATGCACTGATTCCAAAAATGGCAGCCAAGCTAATTAAATTTAAAAAATAACAAAAATTGTTTATATCTTTAATTTAGTTATAATAGAAGGTAGTAGTAGGGGTGCTGGAAATTATATGCTTGAAATATGCGGAAAATATCTTCTAATGGACAAAGTATATTAATTGGTGAGATAATTTTCTTAAAGTTGCTTCCCATTGGAAACCTAAATTACGCCACTATGGTTAATTATATTATATGTTAGTATACAAGTTTTTATCTACAACATTAACGTTGATTTCGTTTATTACCAGAAGTTATTGAGTGTTTCAAGCCAAATATAGTTTAAAAAAAATCATATTGCATGTCTATGAACTATTTGTCCTCGCAACAATAAAAACAAATATTTTTCTTCACAAACAAAAGTTTATTTAAAAATATTTTCTGCTTATTTATGATCTTATTCGGCGTTGTGTTGCTAATAAGATTAGCGTTTGCTATAGAATAGCCCTTGGAAATGACACACACTATAATATTTAACTTTAACAAATACATTTGCACATACATACATATGTACCATATATGTATATGTAAATATGCTTACCTGTGCTCTCTGCCATTATCATAGTTACTTTAGTAATGTTTAAAAATAAATGATTGGAAACAAAATAAAATAATTGTAAGATCATTGCAATATATTTGAGTTTTCACAGAGGTACGAGCTGTGGTCTTGGTTATGGTTAATTATAATGTTAGTATAATTTATTGAATAAAAATAAAAATGCATATTTATTTGTTATTTGATCATTTTGGTGTGAGCGGGAATTCTCTATGTGAGTTATGCCAAAGTATTTGATGTTGAGCACAAGAAAAATTATATCGAATATCTATCTTAAGTATATTCTCTTATTTTTAAAATTGTATTTTGTGGAAAAAAATACTGGTATGCTGCAAATACGTTTTTTCCATGTTCCTCTTCGATGGTATATTTTTTTTAGAAATATCTTAAATCAAATTATTGTTTTTCTTTTTTAAATGGTCTGAAAATTTTCAAGCATACATACTAGTTCGTACTATATTCGTATGAATTGTTGTTATTAGTTAACTTACTGCTTTTTTTCGATATCCAAATTTCGGCTTTAGTCCAAAACAGAGATACAATTCCAGTTTTGCTTATTGAGCTACAGATCCGTTACAATTTCTTTTATGTCAAATGCGTTAATTTTGAAAGGCCGAATATTTAAATAAAAAAATTGTACGACTAAAATATATTAATTAACAAATTGTCGGCCGGCAATCTGGTTGAAAGAGCATTCACTGAATGCACCCTAAGATTTTTATACAAACTTGCCATATGATTTCTGACAGATCAAACGTCAAACAAAAATAAAAAACGAAATATAATAAAAAATTTCACTTCCTTCAATTCGAGGACAAATTAAATTTATTTAAAAAGTAGGTAAATTTTAAAGTCGGAGTACCTAGAAAAAGCGCAAAAAGTGTTGAATTCTTTATATTAATTTTCACAAAACTAGAAACTACAGAAAAAATGAAAATATAGTGTATAAATATAGTCAGTTGCGAAGTTGTGGAAAATCGACGAATGTACAAGAAACATTATTAGAAAAAAGGAATCTAGAAGTTTGTTATTTTGTGGTCCAAAGTAAAACTGAATCAATATTGCTTTCTTTTGAATAAGTGATATTAAAATAGTAAATTTTGTTTACGTAGTAGTGAAGGCCTTAAACTGTTTTTGATAATGCATCACTTATTTACATATTTTTTTATGGGGAGACCCCTTTTAATTCAAAACAATACCTGCAAATTTTTTTTTGAAATCTAATTGCTGTAAAAGTCGAAAATATTTTGCATTTAGTCTGTATGATTATAATGCAGAAAAGCTTAAAGAAACGGACTAAATTATCTTAAGCTGTAAATACTCGCATTACACCAATGGTTTATAAAGCTGTTAACCATTGAAATGAGTATCTCTGTTTTCGATAACATTACATTAAAACATCATATGATTTTGACTAGTTAATCTGTTGCCTTTTTACTTACAGATCCTTGCAACCATCGAATCGGTCAAGCTAAAACCTAGTGCCGTCATCACATATATTTTCGCCACGCCTTGAAATGAGTGGCAAAATTCGTTTAAAGGAAAATGGGCTTCTCGATGAAGACCCAATGTCACTACAAGATATCGTTTATAAATATATATGTGAAAACTTAGATGTAATAAGTTCACCCAACATGTGTGGCACCCTACGTCAACTAAATGAGGGCATCGTTCTTCCAAATGACATTTGCGATCGACTGTTAAAAGCATGCCAACGTTTTCGTCCACAATTGTGTGATGATGTGATAAATATTTTTGAGGATAGGACACGAACATCGTTAAAAATTGTGCACTTGAGAAATAGTGCTTTGACTAATACAGGTAAGAAATGCAGCAACTTCATTGCACTATTACGTTTTGTAAGTACATTTATCTTGTATGTAATTAAAAAATGCAATCAATGACGAAATACGTTACATCTAAAACATGCATCACATATACATATGTATGTACACACATGCACATATATGATCGTATATATGTTTCATGCAAATACTTTAGATAGCGGTTCAACTTAATTGATTAATTGATTAAGTTGGAAATGAATTTGAATAAAACGTCACTGACCTTCTAATAAGAATAATGCAGTTATGCGAAACTTGTTTTTCATTTATAAATTGGTACACTTATAAATATATATACATATGAACATGGCATATTAAAATATCAACGTAAACCACTTTCTAACCGCTGTGAAATGTAAAAGCCAAGGATAGGCATTTAATTTTGCAAAAATTTGTTTTACATTACATACAAACATACATATAAACGTTTGAACTTTAATGCGTTAGTTTTAAAGAACTAATAAAAAAATTGACTAGATTTATTGTTTGTTTGTAACGGGGGAAACCAAAAACACGGTTTTTATATATTTAATAAATTTATTTTCATTAATTAAAAGAATTTCACTAATTCTTCTACACAGGTTTGGAGATAATTATGCGCCACAAGTTGTATTCCCTTACGATATGGTACTGTAATCAAATAAATGTGCAATCGGCCCAGCTGCTAACGTTGTACGGTGAAGGGCTACGCTCGTTAGAACTCGGTATTAGCGCACACATGCTGCAGAATTCTGAGCCGAATGAGAAAGAACCCGTAGATTTTGAATTCAATTGCCCGCACCTTCGCCGATTAGCTTTAAAGCGTGTAGTGGTGCATAATGGCTTACAACTAAATTGTCTGCTCGAACTGACCCATCTCGATTTGAATAACTGCATATTAGTGGGTTTCAGTTTGGAAGCGCTAGCTAACCTGCCACAACTGCATACGTTAATATTATTTAATGTGTGGCCAATTGCTAATCAATTGCAAGCAATTTGCTTGTTGCGCCGATTGCGTACATTGGACATTTCAATCAGCAATTCGGGCAATGGACATGGAACCTACGATTTACCCGACCAAACATTGGAAATGATAATGAATAACTTACGAGAACTTACGCACTTAGATATTTCGGGTACAAATCTAGCGGGCAATGGGGTGGCAACAAAAGTATCGAATTTTAAATTGCGCACCGACATACCGGGTCTGGAATCGCGGATAGAGCGGCCATTGCAGTTTTTGGGTCTCTATCATACGGCGCATTCTGCTTGCAAACGTCACGATATACCGGCGATTGAGGTATAGAAATTTATTAAATCCAAAAATATATATGCATATTATAGTAAATATATTTATGTATATATACTTGAAGATCGCGGGTGACGCCAATGAAGATCAAATTCTTACTGCGGCAAGGTATTACCACGACAGGCCAATAATTCTAACGAGGGTAAGTGTTGAGTGTAAGAGTTGCAGGCATAAGTACACATTCAGTCATGTTAGTAACATTAAACTTTTTTTTTAATTTTAGGTTTTGAATGACCTCTACCACCTGTTCCGATTTGAAATCTGTAAGGATATACATCTGGCATTGGATGCAGTGCTTACGGCTATGGATAGACATTTGAAATTCAAGCATATGCAAATTTCGGGAAGGTAAACTGAAAGAGTTTGTAGTATGCTATTAGGTAAACTATATACATATGTGAACTTTCAATTGCAGTGCTACGCTGTTTTACATAGTTAAAGGGCGCGATCACTCAAAATTCGGTACGACCTTGCGCTATCACATTATTCGTACGCTACTCAACGGAATGGAGACGCATCTTACTGATGATACGATGCTTCGAAATGGTTATCTAACGTTCACACAATTTCAAATGCCAAGTGATGTCGTAAGTTTAATTTGCATTGCATTGACATAAAATGCAGCGTTAAAACATATTTTTCAGCTGCTCGTGTATGAGCGTCTCATAAAGGTCTTATTGCATGGTGTCTCGAAGACTGCGCAGGAAGGCTTTGTACAGAGGATAGCAATATATTTATTGAACTCTTTGGCGTGTCAAGTGGATGGCAAGCAAAAACTGTTCTTAGGCGAGCTGGGTGTCGTTGGTGTAAGTATTTTGTCGGGAGTTCAGTAATCGAATATGAAGAGTAGCGAAGCAACAACAGCTCGGTGAACCATACACGTGATTAATATTAAACAAAGTTTTTGTAATTTTCTTTTTTATAATCAGACAATGTTAAGCTTAATTAAGGATCGTTTGACGCGGTCGGTATTCGATGATGTCATGGAAGTGGCATGGTCAACAATGTGGAATGTAACCGATGAGACTGCAATAAATTGTAGAAGATTTTTAAAGGGACGTGGAATGGAGTATTTCTTGAAATGCCTGCGTGTAAGTAAAATACATCTCTGGGGTGACCGTTTATACATTTTTAAATTATGTGTGTTTACTAAATCTGTTGCAGACCTTCCCCGATCGGGATGAATTATTGAGAAATATGATGGGCCTCTTGGGTAATGTCGCGGAAGTTAAATCGCTGCGACCAAAACTTATGACACAAGAATTTATTGAGGTCTTTCGCAATTTATTAGTCTCGGCAAGCGATGGTATCGAAGTAAGTAAAAGTAAACTATTTATAAATTATATTTGAAAGTTCAACTGGCATAACTAACCGACTTACTACACCCCAGGTAAGTTATAACGCGGCGGGTGTGTTGGCGCACATCGCTTCGGACGGACCTGAGGCATGGACAATACCGTCACCAAGTCGGGATAGCGTGCTCATACGCTTAGTGGAAGCCATTAGACGTTGGGATATAAGAAGTGGCAGGAACATTAATTATCGTAGTTTTGAACCGATTTTGGGATTGGTACGCTGCTATGAGACGCCGCAATGCCAACACTGGGCTGTTTGGGCTCTAGCCAATTTGACGCAGGTATGTAATTTTATTGCTGCAGTGCATATATGTATGTATGTGTAAAAATATTCAATTGATGCAATTGTGTTTTAGGTTTACCCAGATAAATATTGTCAGCTGGTGAAAGAGGAACATGGTATTGAAATATTGACTGAACTGATCCAAGATCCACGACCATACGAGGATATAAAATTAATTGCGCGCAAAGTAATTGAAAAGTGTACACATTAGCCCAATTGGTTGCTAGACGGTTAAAATCGAGACAGTTGTGTAAATTTATGAAAAAACAAAATTGGTGAGAGTTGGATAGAGAATATCACCTCATAACAAGTGAGCTAAGCTAACTAATTAGAGCAAACGGAAGCGATCGACACTCGCATAGGCATAAACAAGCGAGTATAGGAATTTGTGTAAATTTGTTCTCTGCTTCCTCTTAAGAAATGTTTATTTTTAAATGGTATACTGTGTTTTAAATTATACACAAACGATTATATTACACTATTATTAAACAATGGAAAATTATTAACGTAGGACGGAAGTCGCGATAAGAAATTCATGGGTTAAGGTAGCTAAATAATAAAAAAAGAAAACAGTGAATTGTCGGCAAGAAAAGAAATTTATGGGTTAAGTAAGCTAAATAATAATAATAATAAAAAAAGAAAACGTCGTTCCAATGTTTAGATCGCATGTATATAGATTATGTTTGCTCGAACTAAACTATTTAATATCAATTAGAGAAACTACAGAAATAATATTGCTTATAGGAGCTGTTCGCAACTGTGGCGTTTTTTTCATTATAAACTCAAAGAGATTAATCGCTCATTTAAAGAAATGAGAAATCGCAAAAAGCATACATATATAAAGATATATGAAAAAACTCTACCCTAGGTGGTGTTCTTAGCGTTAATATATATACATATGTATTCAAACATTTATCATTCATTACATACATAGGTCATGTATAAAACATATTTCATACCAGTTTATTGCAGCTTACCATTACATAATATAATATACAATGTAAATCCATTATGAAATGCTGTTTGTTTTCATGCCAATCACAATTGTAAATATTCCGTATAAAGAAGCCGTTATAGTGGAGCGTATATTTTTGAATTTTCTTATTGTTTTTACTAAAATACTTTGCGATTGTTCTTTTAAAAGTTGAGCTGTGAGAAAGTAGTGGTAAAAGTTAGGTGACACGCCAAGCTCCTCTAATTTTGTATTGCATAACTTTTCTAACCTAATGTTTATACACATACACAAATATGTATGGACTTATGCCAGCTATGCATGATTGAATACATTTTTATATGTTTCGCCGAGTTTAATTTTAGATTGCATAAATTAAACATACTTTTCAGGAAAATAGATGTTAATCGAAGGGGGGCGAAGTAGAAGCAAGATTTTGTGAAAAATGTTTGAAACACACGCCCGCCGCTCCACTTTCGCCATAAGCTCTTTGAAATACAATAAAAATAGAGGAATAGAAACATACTTAGATACGCACTCTCAACTTTGACAGAGAAAACTTCGTTTTGAATGTAAAATAAATCGTAATAAAATTATTGAAACTGAAAACGCATATTTTCTTTCTGCATATTCTAACCTGTTATAAAACACACACGGATACATACATATATGTATTATAAGGTATCACTTGCAATTTATTTCCACACAAACCGATTTATCTACATGAAAGTATACAAAATTTGTCAACGCGTCAAGAGTTGTTGGACCAAAAAATAAAAATAAAAATAAAAATAAAATAAATAAATAAAATTAAAATTTCTTTTACACGAAATTTATCCAAAAAATAAAAAAGAAAACTGCAAGGAACAAAAAACATCTAGCGGCGACGACGGCGTGAGCGCGATCGTCTGCCACGACTACGACGCCTCTTACTGCCGCTGCGGCGTCGCCTCCGGCCACCTCGGTCGTATATGCCTCCACCCTCCTCATAATCAGCGGCATCTGTCGGCTGCATGTAAAATAAGAATGCAAATGGCCATTAAATGTCACTATCGATCGATTCAACACATGTGCACGTCGTCATGGCTTACGCTCACCTGCAGTTTACGCGATTTTCTTGTCGCCACAACATCGTCCTCCGAGCTGGAGATACTCAGCTCATCCGACAGCTCGTCGTGATGGTCGCCTTCATGATCGTCGTAATTGTGACTGCTTTTACGTGTGCTTGTCGTAGCACTCTTTGTTTTACTCATTTCCTGGCTCTTCACTGTCTCTCTGGTTTGTTTGTTGATCGCTGATTGGGCCTCAGCCGCCGACACCTTTGCTAGTGATCCTTTGTTTGTGTCGTGCACGTGTAAAACATGCGCGTTCGTCCTTTTTTATGCGGCTCTTTTATTTCTTTTTTTTCGCACGAGGTTTTTAACGGACTACGTCGTTACTATGAGAACTAGTTGGTGTTCGAATTTTTTTGCACGTTAAAATTTTTTATTGAAATATTGAAAAAAAAGTTATAAAACGTTATTCAAGTTCGAGACAATCTATCGAATGAGAAAATTTTTGAAAATTACAAGTCAACAGTTTTCGAAATCTAGTCACCCTTGAACGGTGTCTATGATTGAAAATGCACAAGTATGGGTTTATTTTATATACAGTATAGGTTGACTACTTGAACCGGATATAAGATAAAATATACTAAAAGATAGTAAATTTACCGCTCATGGTCAAACCTGGCTACCGCACATCGATGTCGACATACTCTAGTACCAGCCTTCTCTGCTTTGCAAGCAATTGGAAATTTCAAAGGCCTCTCCACTTGCCTTCTTGCTTACACTACGGCCGTACTGCATACATACATACATACATATATATGTCCAGATGTTGGGTATACTTCTGCTCAGACGGATGGTCCTAGCTAGCGTAGCCACAGTGTATCCACTGTTTATTTGATAACAGGAGATATTTTGTAATGGACTGGTTGGCCTTATTCACATTACTTCGGTGTCCTATTTCGGCGAGGCGAAAGTATTTGCGAAGAGGTTCAAGTAGAAATATATGTAGATGATGATTGGAATATTGCATTTAACTTTTATATGCAAAATTCCTATATTCTGCCTGTCTGAGCTTCGAATTTAATAGCATTGTTGCTTTCTTTACCGTCGAAGATCTTAGCAGTTTTGACTCCAGAAGGCAGAAGAATTTTAGAATACATATCTAGTCTTGACTAAAAATGGAATGAAGTTGTTCTGGTTATAAGCTAGGACCCTAATTGAAATTTTTGAAATAATTTCGCAAACATACATAGCTTTGCTTTCCTTCTTGATTTTCTATTTATCTACATACTTATACATACAGAAGTATGTATAAGTACACATATGTGTACTTTATTATATATATTGTACATAAGTATAAAATAAATAACTCGTTAATAAAATTCCACCATTAAGAAAGTCGTCGCTATACTCGTAAATTACAATGCAAGCACCAAAAGCACAGAAGGACTGTATATGTGCGAATGCACACACACACACACACACAATGTACTCGACGCACTTAAACTCAAAATGTAAACAACCCCACTGCGAAATAACAAAACAAAATTCGGTAGATACATATTTACATACACACACACATATATTACATGTAAACAACAGTAACTTTCAAGAATCGCGCCGGTTGTCCCCACATTTATCAGCTTATTGGTATTCCACATGCTTATTTCCCTCTTCCGTTTTTCAGCTGACAGCGCAGCAGTGAACGTGGTGAGGGTGGTAGATAAACACATTTAAATAAACGGGTGGTAACAGGGGCACTCTCTCCAGATATGATTGTGTATAAGAACAACCCTTACAGAGATGATTATGGCCAAAACAAAACAGTTGAGGTGACCAGACTTTTACATTTGTTAATAATCAACTCATAGGAATTTCGTTAAAGAAAGTTGCAAACTGCACACAAAACTTAAATATCTACATATAATATAACGGTCTTGCTGAACTGAATCTGTATGTTGCGTTACTAGTAATTGTTGTGAAAGAAAGAAACGAAGCGTTTACGAATTTTTTTAACTTATTGTTCCATTCAGTCCAAGAAAATGTCAAAATTTCTTCTGGTAAGAAAAAGTTGCGTTAGTTTTTTAAAACGAGAATATTGCCGTAAGTACGATATCTGATACGAAGAAGAGTTTTATAGTTTGGTCACCCAAATTGCTGCTTTCGATGTCGTTCAAAACAAACCGTCTACCGACGCATACGGCATTTCAGCCACCACACGAATTTAGTTATCATTTTGTCGTCTTCCCGTTTGGGGGTGTTGCATGTGTAACGGTTTGCCACTGCGCGCTTTTTGTAACTTTTGCCGGTCGCGTGCTCGTGTGCAGACACCAAATAAGAAAGCAAAGAATATTGTGAACAAAAACAGTGCGAATAAATGTTGAAAATATAGTGCCAAAGTATGTTTGTATGTGTCGGTGGTTTATGTGAATTTAAATTGTTAATTGCAATTGTAAGTGCGTCTCTTCTGCATTCTGAAGCCTTTGTATATGTTCTATAGACATCATAAATCACACATACCCGCCCAAATATGTGCGTATATGTAAATTTCGAGGGAGCATTTTCATGCATGCAGTGCAGAAGCGTATTTGCATAAGTATGTCCCAGTAAAGGCCGGTTTTGCAATTTTCCGTCCTTCGGTTGACTTGGCGACTGCTTTATCGACTGTAGTGCCGTTTGCCTTTGTTATGATAATATTATATGCAGAGTCAAGCGTTGTGGACACCGCCGGTCCGGTAATTAAAGGTTTCCGACCCTCTATGTCTATTGTTGTGGTTGTTGTGGTCGCGGTCGTTGCACGCTTCATCGACGTCACCAAACGTGTACCAACGGGCGTCACATACTATTGTCGGTTCTAGCACTCGTCACCGCCGACTGGTGCCGTCACGCCTCCATTCAATTAATGTGCTTTAAACTATTTAGCTTGTTTGTAAGCGGTGGCTTAGCGTTTTAGTATTGATTTTTCCCCAAACTTAGAGGCGGCTGGCAGCCGGCCTGAAGTGTTGTAAAGTGTGGAAAGTTGAGAAAAGCTGAAAGGCGATGTTTGCACTCAACAACTAATGAAGTGGCTTAATTCAAGTGAAGTGTCTAAAGAAATTCATACCGAACAACTTGTTAGGATAAACAAAAAGAATACTGAATATTTTGTGATATTCATTGTAGTAACTTAGTAACTCTTGTAAATAAACTAAATGTATGTGAATTCTATAAATATATGTACTCAGAGACCTTTAAAATAATTCGTATAGAGCCATTATTATCAGACAACCGTTACATATAAAAATATTTGTGAGTGTTTTTAAATTCGTTTTAGAAGTTCTGTTGGCCTTCGTGGACAATGGACAAGAAACGATATTCGTTATAGAAAGAGCGAAAACGCATGAAAATTCGAATTATGGGAATGGAAGAAAGCGATATAAGAAAATTCGTTATAAAGAAAGCAAATATACTAAAAATTGAATGAAATCGCGTTGGAAATTAATTCGTTATATAGAAAACATCGTTGTACAGAAGTTCGACTGTATATGTTGTACAATAATATATTTATAAAGCATATCAAAAGAAGAAAGTATGTATGTATGTACACATGAAAGGACTAGTATTAAATATAAATTGACAAAACTTAGTTCAATCACTTCCTTGTAAAAACGTGTTTTCGTGCCTTTGACGTGTTCAAACCCTTTAATTATGGATATTCGATGTAGCTGTCTCGCCGAAGGGCGAGTATCAATGTTGATGTAAACAAGAAAGGGGGTAGGATATGAGTATGAGTCGAGGTAAATTAGTTTGTTTGCGTGCAAATTAGAGCTAATAATAATGTTTACAAATATTGGAAATTAATGGAATTTTACTATAGAAGGGTAATTGCTGAACGGGGGAACGTGCACTTTGAAGCCGCTAAAGTGGATTTGGGGGTGCATGCGTTTATATGTATGTATGAACGTGAGTAAATTGCTATTAAAATAAGCGGAAGTAATAAAATTATTTCCCGGGCATGAAATAGACTCTGGCATTGAAGGCCGGAAGTAGTCTATGATTAAACGGGATTTTTGCTTTGGCCCCACAAATGCTTACGAGGAAGCCACAATGAGAGCTTCGACGTGTAATTCAATGAAATGAGGGCGGAAATTAAAATTGTGAGTAAAAACACCTTTAAATAAATAACAGTACAAAGATGTTGTTTAGTTAGGGATAGTTTCCTTTGAGTGAGTTTCGAACCTGCGACCTTTGGTACTTAATAATAGAACTCTGCGCACCACGCCATGTTCATCCAACAAAATTAAAGTGATATTTCTTAACATGTCCATATCGTTATTAAAATTGATTTTCGTTGCATACTTTAAGGCGACACGAAAAAAATTCATTTCTACACTGGGAAAATGGGTCTACACCAAATGCTAACGAGACATTAAAAATGAAAATGAGTAAATTTTTTAAATAGCACAAGAACTGTAAAAATATAATTCATATGTTGCACAAAAGTACCTTAACAAGGCTTTTACGCTGTAGATAGCATTTTATGCTGGTCTGTGGGTTGCTTGTAGTGGAGTATTTTGGGTGTAAGGCTTACATAATACAATCGCATCCCTCCAAACGTAGTGAAGTGTAATAGCGGCATGTGGAGCGGTTTCGATCGTTGCAGTTCCCGTGGCGTCGATATTCAGAGCACCAACAATGCTGGGAGTAGCCAACAGGAGACTTTGGCCGAAATTGAACACATATCAACGATAGCCGGCTCGCTGGTATCGATTGCTTCCATATCACATACACACACACAAGTACGTTATGTGAGTATAACAATGGTTTTCGTAGTGAACCGACTGAATAGCCAGTTCGCTGCCATTTGCTAATGTTTTTGCTTTGTTCTCATTCTCCTTATAGCAATGTACAAACGACGCCGGTTATGAGACTGAACACACCTCGCTCAATTCAGACTTCGATGAGGCAGAGCTGCGCCGAGAATTGCTACGTGACGTAAGTCAATATTTTTTTATTAATGCTTTAATAATAATTTATTAGTTTTTTAACTTTTCTTCACAGAAATGGAAATTGTTGTTCGATATGGTAAGTCTCCTTTCTATATTTGTACTTTACATTTTATTATTTTATGTGGTCATTATTGTAAAATGCAATATTTCAAGGAACACATACTAGTATTTATGCTTTTTTCACAATTTTTTTAGAGTGTAATGTAGTTTGCGCATGTGTGTGTATCGCTTTAGCAGCGTTGGTTACCATGCATTCAATTCAAACGATAGGTACTAGATTGCGGGTTCGAATCCCAAGTGCGTAGACCAATTTATTATTTTTGTTTTATTTTTTTTTTAGTTTTGTAGCTTGAAACCTATTTATTTTTAATGAATTACTGTTTTTAGTGGAATCTAAATAGCTCAATGAAAGCTTTTTAATTTTTATGGTCAGTATATGACCACAGGAGTCACTGATTGTACTGTACTCGCCTGGGTATTGGACCCAACCAACCTTTTTCAAAATATTGTGTGGAAATTGAGTTTATTGAAAACATAATTATTAACTGATTTCAGTTTTGAAAATTTTTCGTCAAAAAATTTGTACTTTCAAATTAACTACAAGAGTTCTAGATAACATAATCTTATGCTCTCTCTGTAATGGTAATTGGCAAATATAGGACGTTAATATAAATATTTTTATTAATATAATTAATACTAAATTACAAATACTAATTTAGTGTTTTCATTCGACAATATACTTTCGTACTCAGTTTTTTTCCATATCGATCCATTTTCCAGTTCGATCCCGAGGGTTTTGGTGAGATACCAGTTGATGACTTTGTGAAGGCATTAAAATCTCCCGAATTTGTATCACAAGTGCCTATGAATAAACGTGAATTGCTACATGAACGAGCGAAAAAGGCGCATCCGCCGACCGGACCCGGATATGTTACCTTCCAGGATTTTGTAAATGTGGTAAGTGGCTTTAATTCTGCATCGTAAAGCTTATTACTACTGAATTTAGAATTAGCCACAAACAAAGGAAAAGCTTATGAGCCTGTCAGGATTTCAAAAGATTGGCCTGTCATCACATGACCTATATGCAGCACCGAATTTGGGTACGAGGATGAATGTAGTTGGTGAGAAAAATCTACAAAACATTGTTGCTGAGCATCGGGCTCCTTGTGAACTCCAGGCCCGGAAGTTATTTCTTATAATTAACTATTTGATGTTAGCGAGTTCGCGAACAAGAGGGACTACACAGGCGATGCACTAAGTCCAGTTGTATCTTGGGTCCTTCTAAGCTGCAGTTCATTGCAAACATATAACGTCTAGTAAATGAAAGTTCAGTAGCTTTGGCTTTGTCCACCATTGTTGTTGCTTTTTCTTTAAAATGCAGTTATGGCTTTTGATTTAAACCCAAGACTTTACTTGCACACACAAATGTAAGCCTGCACACATTGACATTTGATAATTTTGTTTTTGTGCGGTTTTGGCAAATATCCTTTGCTTAATTTGCACTTTGCATATTTGTGTCCTTTTTGTTTGTGTTCATTTCGGCCATTGGCTTGCATGCCTGCCTGCCCTCTTACCGGGACCACGTATGTACATACATATGTAGGTGAGTATGGACATAAGTGTAGAAGTGAAGAGCTGCTTACATTCAAAAGAGAATCTCCGACAATTGCAATTCCATTAAGAGCCACATCTTGTTTGTTTGTGCTCCCTACATACATATGCATACGTATTTGCATTGGATACTCCTTGATTGCCGTCGCTTAGGAATGGTTTTCAAGTAGCAACCGTTGTTGATATCGGCGCTGGTAGGCAGGTGCGTGTGGCAGTGTGTGCATGCGTGTTCATATTGATATTTACATGCATTGCTATTATTGTTGTTATTGTCATTAGAATTGTTCAGATTGCGGGCGTTGATGTTTACCTCTTTCTGCTTCAAGAAATTCAATTCAATTCGATTTGATTCGTTCATCTGCCGTTATATTTGTACTGCCTAAGCGTGTGTGTGTGAGTGTTCCCTCAACATATATGCGCTAGAACGATTGTTGCTGTTTTTGTTGTTAATAAATGTTGTTATTGACAAGTGGAATGCATTTTAGGTTTTTTGATTGATATTTCGTTTGAGTTGTTGTTATCCCTTGTGTGCATTTATTAATTTGTTTACAAACGGTAAATATTGTAAAAAGAAAATTCCCACAAATTGTTTTCGGATATGCATATTTTTTGTGCATTTATTTTTAGCCCATTCAATGTTATTATATTGTAACAAAGGTACAACGGCTTTTTATTTGTTTTTGCAAGTAGTTAATTACTGCGGTGAAATTGTTTTCCAACATTCTTGTGAGCCTTAATTTAGCGAAGAAGAATAACAGTTGAGCAGCTCATTATCTCCATGAGATTAGCCTCAAATCTCATTCGACGATAAGTTTTTAATCATTCCTTTATTTTTTTTATTAAAGACATCTTCTCGAAAGGCAATATCAAATCTGTAACGTGTAAATGTTTCACATCAAATTCCATCAGCCATACAGAAAAGGCTTACAAGTAGCAAGGTTCCACAATTTAGATTCAATAACTGCCAAGAAAGTTGGAGTATGGTAAAACTATTAGTTTTGAGTATGAATACTTTTTTTGCGAAAATAAAGTAATTGCTGTTCCTTAAGTCCTTGACAGTTCAGAACACTGACAGGTAACAACGTTGTGATCTGTGGAAAAAAGTTTTCCTTGACTTCGCTTTAATATTATGGGGAAGTTTCAATTTTAGGCCGAACCATCTTTAGTGGAAAGATTTTGGGTGTAAAGGATGGCTTTAAGTCATGATAGTCGAATGATTTAAAAGTGGAATTGATGACGAAACACATAGTTATTGGACAGACAGATAAAAGTAGACGAATAACACATTATGTGATCTAAGAAGGATCCAAGAAGATCTAATGGTATTACTATCATTTACGTGCTCGGAGGAAGAACTAACCCCAGCTTTTATATTCTACTTCAGTCTGTCAACGAACCAACAGTTAAATTTCTCCATTAAAGCTCTCTGCCTGTGCTCCATGCTCAGCGCACGGCTCAGCTAGGGTTTAATACACCATTTTTGCGCGATCTGTGCAGATCATGTTCCAGTAATTGCCCAGTGATTAAAGATTCATTCAAGAATTATAATTCATTCGGTTGACGCTTGCAATGTGCATATTCTATGAATGAATTCTCCACCGATTGCTAATTAATGACTAATTTATTCCAGTGTTACCAACAAATAGCAACTGCAAATGCAAGAAAAGCTATATGTTAGCAGCATGATAGAGCACTTGCCACATGCCATATGCAACATGTAGCATGCGTGCCGCTGTTGTCGTTGAAGGAACGCGGTGTGGCGATTATTCAATCTGCAAAACGATTACCATTTATGGCATGGCATTGATTTACTAAAACCGATGGCGCACGCGCCTATTCCTCAGCCGGCAAGCGTCCGACAAATGTATTCGGTCGATGGGCTCAACCGGTAGCCGGCAGGCGGCCGACGCCACTGCCTCTCGCTTGGCACATGCATGCAATCCGTTCCGTGTTGCGGTTCTTCATCGCATTCTCTACATACGCATATACAAACACAAATACAAATGCACGTTAATTTCAATAGAAAATGTTCGTCTTCACCTGTCAGCATCAAGCGCCAAGCAGAGCCGACTGAAACTGACGACGGCTTCAATGATGTCCCCGGAGCCATAAGCGCGATGCATTTGCACCTAGTAGACACTGTCAGCACGCTCTGATTCTGTTCACAGTTCGTCGCTTACATGCTGTACATACATACAGCCCATACGCGACTGAGGACAATGCCGTTGTGCTCCATTGTGATTGATATACATACATACATATAATGCAAGCGGGGAACAATTCGATTGAAGAGAAAAACCAATTCACTTGTCCGTCTGTGTGTACGTAAGCGCGTGTGTCTCGTGCTACAAATATACATTCAGCGCATGCAATCTGGCCGATGCTGCCAGTGATAATGATGTGTTGATGATGTTTATGATAATAACTTGCGAGATCAGCTCCAGCGAGCTTTGTGCATATGAAAAGAAATCGAGCAAATCAAAATGAACACAAAAATTAAGAAGAAGAAATGAAATGCGACGGAAAGCGGAGAAGCACAGGCGCATGCGCATTGCGCACATCATAATCGCGTCGCGTGCCCAACGATCGCTTGACGGCTGAAAACTGAAGACTGCACGATCCCGAAGACTATGCTGTCGGTTAAGTTTATTCAATAAACTTGCAGCTGCAATGTTGTGCTTCTGTGCGGTAGCCGGCACGGTGTGGCGAGGCGAGGCGACGATCGCTGCAACGCGTAGTTGGGTGCATGGCTGTGGGCAATGGACGTGCAGCGGCGGCACTTGTTGCATTTTTTACCGTTTGTGCATTCCGACTTCATTCAGAACAAGATTCAGGAATTTCTTGGTGCGTGCTTGGCACAGGTCCTAACAGCAACCCAACAACAGCAACACCAACAGCAGTTGTTCGCTTCGGCGTGCATTGAATTCAGAAACAAGAATGAGATATGCAGTGGAAAATGCAACGCTGCCTTTTGCTTCTTATAATTTGATTGTGGCAGTTTATTACAATGTTATTGTAATTGTTATTGCTATTGTTGTTGTTGTTGTTTGTTCGCAGATCGTTCGTCGATTGTAATGTGGTAATGTGCTGCGCTCAGATGTAAAGCGAATGTTTGTGGTGGCGATGGTTGTAATGACATGAACGCACTTTCTGTACATTCGCGTTACTTTTGAGAAACAATTCATTAATGGTTTGAGGAAAAAAAGTATCGCGCTTATTAAAAATTGCCTTGAATGTTTTCATCAAAATAAAAATTCCAAACTGCTTAATTGCTGAAGCTCTTCTGGTTTTGCTACTTCGAATTCAACTTTGCATGGTAAGGCCAGTGGCGCTCAAGTTTTGGCACTCCTTTTTGGGCGGACTGTTTCCGCTTCTATTTGAAGTAAGAGCTCTTAAACCGGACAAATGCTCTCGATCTGAAGAACGCTCAATATGTTTAAAATTTTAATAGAATGGTCCAGCGCCAGAAATATGCTCAGCAATTAATTGAAAGAGTATTATAAACTTCGTGTGGGGTATAACGGAAGTAACGATTTCAGTTTATATTTCTTCTCTATATGCTGGAGCTTTTTTTTTTATTTTTAAAATATGTTATGAAACAACTCTGTCAAATGCATAATACCTTTCGTAATATCTGTTTTCTGTCTATAGTTGGTGGACTTTGGTATATTCTAATCAAAATTTTGAATTCTGCTAATGAAATTGCTTGCAGGGAGTCGCTTGATTTCGCTAAGCTCACATTCGTTAAATACTCATATCAACTCTTCAGACGCATAAAGTGGAGAGGTTTTGCGAAGACTAACATTTGACAACTTTGCAACTCGATGTTTCGTTGCTAGAAGTTGGTTGAGAATTACTTCTTCCTACTCCAACTTGTTGCCGTGCCCGGAATACTTTCTAAAATATTTATGGATAGAATTTTAATAGAATTGACTGGTTATTTCGTTTTTTTACTTTAGGCTATAACAAACTCTCCTTATCGCTCTGGTTTTAACTCAAATGCATCTGTCTATAAAATGCAATGCAGGTATTTCAATTTGTAATGATGAGCGATGTTTTATCAAAGTGCTTTTTTTATATATATTATATATACAAGCCCATTCTTTAGTAATGTCGCGCGGCAGTAATTCATGAAAGCAGCAATGCATGGTTGGCAGGGCAAGACGGTGTAAATGCAGGCTGATTGCACAATGAATGCATGCGCCTGTCCCGTTCGCTTTTTGCGACTCCCGTGCACATTCCTGCATCTTAAGCGGCAATGGCGACGCGCCAGATCAGACGGCCAGCTGGACGCATGCGATTGACGCGCCGCCGCACACCCAACATTCAGGTGCAGCCAGTGAGTG